GAAGGAGAGTGACTCAGGCGCCTGTGCTAGCCTTACCAAACTTCAATCAAGCCTTCGAGGTAAAGTGTGACGCATCTGATGTGGGGATAGGGGCAGTGTTAAGCCAAGGGGTCATCACATCGCCTACTTCAGTGAAAAGCTGAATGAATCCATGAGGAAATACTCAACATATGACAAGGAATTTTATCTCGTTGTACAAGCCCTGGAGCACTTATGTCATTACCTGCTGACAAGCGAGTTCACACTGTTTACAAATCACGAGGTATTGAAATTTCTCAACAGTCAGAACAAACTGAAAGGCCGAGATGCCACTTGGGTGGAATTTCTAGCATCATTCCAATTCGTGCTTAAGCACAAGGCGAGAAGCCATAACCGCATAGCAGATGCACTAATTCTTTGTCACTTGTTGATTACAACAATGCAGACACGAGTTTTGGGGTTTGAGGTCGTAAAGGATTTGCACGACGTAGACATGGACATCTTGGAAATCTGGGAACAATGTCAGGAGAAACCGATTCGACAGTATTACCAAGCAGATGACTACTTATTTCACAAGAGTCAATTGTGCATTTCCAGGCGCTCACTGAGAGACCATTATTTAAAAGAGACAAAATAGAGGATTAACGGGTTATTTTTGCAAGGACAAGACTTGCTCTATTGTAGAAGCATTTCTTTTGTCTCCAATTGACAATAGATGTGCATAGTCACGTCAGACAGTGTAGGATCTGGCATCTGACAAAGACAAGAGGGCAGAATGTGGGTTTGTACACTCCATTACCAGAGGCACCATGAGTGGACATCTGTATGGATTTCGTGATGGCTCGCCCGAGGGCGCATAGAAACAGGGTCTTTGTGATGGTTGTAGTGGACCGCTTCTCGAAGATGACAGATTTCGACTATTGCCACAAGAGACTGGATGTGTCTCATTCTGACGATTTGTACTTCTGGGAGGTCGTGAGGTTAAACGGGATTCCTAAGATCATTACATCTGACAGAGACGTCAATTCAGTTCATCAGCTCATCGACAAATGATGATTGGGCAGAGGTCGTGAACAGGAGCCTAGGAAATCTCCTGAGATCCTTTGTGGGGAAGAATACCAATCAGTGGGATCTCATCCTAGCCAAAGCTAAGTTTGCCTACAACAGATACCTGAGTCAGACTATAGAAGGTAAATCGTTCGAGATTGTGTACGGGTGCAATTCACTTACACCACTTGAGTTGGTACCATTCTTGTCGATATCAGATGTCTGTGAATATGCTACAACGAGGGTTTACGAGATTCAAAAATTTCATGAGGAGTTGACAAGGAGATCGCTAAGTAGAACCGTAAATACCAGGCATGTGCAAATAAGTCCCAGAAGGTGACATTTCAAGGAGAACTAAAGGTTCCCAATATGAGCATTCGAGAAGCTTAAGCCTCGAGTAGAAAGCCATTTCATAATACTTCGGAAGTTGAATGACAACACATACAAGGTTGACCTGCAAGGCAACTACAATGTTTCAGCCACGTTCAATGACACAAACTTGACACCATACTTTGAGGACTCAGATGCTTCAACGAATGAACTCAAACTCCTCCAAATTCTCGAGACTGATGCAGGGCAAGATTGGGGGGCTGAGTGAACTGACCCCTGCGTTGTCCTGATCTGCTGGATCGGTCGACCGCCAAAAGGGGTTGAATCTGCCGCCCACATATTCCCTTTCCTGTTTTCCCTCCTATTCCTCGTCCTTCCCTTTACATTATATCCTTTTCTTTTTCTTGTTTATTCCATGTCTTCCTTTTCTATTTCCTTTCTTATTTTGATCCTTACCTATTATACTTACTAATCTCTATTATTTATTAGTGGTGCTTGCTTCGGTTACTGTTAGTTGATTTGTTTTTTGAGTTCAGAGTTCATCGCCGACGTTTCTACCATTTGAGTGCTGTATCCGATAACAAGAAGGTGCTATGGCTCTAACTCATCCGAGGTTGTGATTATGTATATCGTTTCTCTTTGTCTTGCATCCACCGACACCCAACAACAACTCCATAGCTCAACAATCCCCTTTCCACGACTCCAACTTATTGCAGCTACTTATCTGTGACTCCAGAAAGCCGCCGACTTTCTTCCCGTGACTCCAGGTTATCGCAACTCTCCGTCTGCAATACCAAAAGGCTGCATACTCTCTTCCCACGACTCCAGGCTGCCACAGCTCCCTGTCTGCAACTTCTGAAGGCTGCAAATTCCCTTTCCACGACTCAGGTTACCACAACCCTCTGTCTATGACTTCAAAAAGTCGCAGACTTCCTTCTTGCTCCTCCAACAGACCGCCTACCTCTTTAAGGCACCAACCGTACCATACTTGCCTGTTCTCACACCCCAGTAGGTTGCCACTGCCTTCTAGCTGAGTGTAACTCCCCCAACATCCGTAGCAGTCCGCCACCTCCCTCCCAGTGAGCCGCAACTTCCCCTCCTTCCTCATGCAGTTAGTCGACCCCCTTCCGGGCATCTCCTTGCAGCATGTCGACTACTCTGGATCCAATCTCGCAAGCCGCCGACCTCTTCTTCATCAGTTTGCAAACTGTTGACCCCTCCCCTCCCTGCACCTCTTATCAGGCCATCGAACACTTTTGCACCTTCAGCAGCCCGCCAACTCCTGCAGCTCACCCTTCATACCCTTTTAGTAGCCCCTCGCATCTGTTGAAGCCGACACCACATTCCATGCAGCTCCACCTTCCAACAACCACATGCACCTGCTGCTCCTTCCGCCCACATTCACCGGTCCCTTTCATCACCAACGTCAACGGATACTCTCCTCAGGCAGTAGCTGCATCGTGTTAGTCTTGTCATCATTTTCTTGTCTTCTTTTTTGTTTCAAGTTTTGATTGTATCTTTTATTATTTGCTTAATAATATTTGTCTTGCATTTTCGTGGGTCGTGTTAACTCCGGTATCAATAAATTTAGGTGTTAGATATGTAAATATATGTCAATTGTGTGGTATGTTTTTAAATGTCCTCTTTTTAACAAAAGCTAAATAATAATAATAATATATCCTATTTATTAACCCTTTTGTCTCATACACTGGCTAGTAAGAAATAAACAGAAAAAATATTCATAAAAAATTATGTAGCTGAAATTCTAATCATCAACACAACTATTTTTAAAAAAATTAATTGATATTTTTATTAACTTTCATTGATTAGAATAGAGTAAGATGATTGAGATTGAAAATGAGGAATTGTAGAACATGGATATATTTGAGGATGAGAGGGAAAAAAATATTTCTTTATGTTGATATAGATGGTGACCCATTATGCGGTGAGTGTGATGGAGACTTATGTTGAATTTTATTTGCTTGCTATGTGATTTTATTTTAGTAATTTATTTTATATCTTAGCTTTGCTTTTTTGATGTTTATGTAAAGCATTTTTTTAATGATTTGATATTAGAATGTTAATATGTTACTTCTTACCTCGAGTTAGTTATTACTTTTTACTTTATTAGGATGTTGATATGTTATTTTTTAATGTTCTAATATATTATGATTTTGAGATATTACTTTTTACTTCACACTTTAAAGTTTATACAATACTTCTCTTTTACACACTTTTTGAATTTGGGTTTTATGTTTCAAAATATCTTTGAGTCTTATGCTTCACTTCCTGGATGAAAAACACTTCAATAACCAAATGTGTAATTTTAAATCTTGATTTGTGATGAGGAACCTGAAGGATCCAGATTTGTCCGATATGATGCTAGAACTCAACTAATTTTTTGTTTATTTATAAAACAGTGGCTTTAAAAATCGACATTATTTTCTCTAAATTAGGATCAAACATTTTTATTCATAATTATTTAATATTTTACATCATGTTTAAAATTGCACGTGCAACATCATGTGCCATGTGCTATACCTTCACAGAGACCTTTACAGTATGGTGTACTATTCACTATTGATAAATATGACCAATTTTTTTTTCTGCTGTTTATGTAAACGAATTTTTTTCTTTGTGAAGTGGTGACCTAGCGTTGTTTTACATTGCTACTTTCTTATGAGATTTTGATGCTCCTTGTGATCATTCCAATGATCCATAATTGATGAATTGGTTGCTTGGTTCTGGTTATTTTAGGTTTATTGCTACTTTTTAGAGTGAGGTACTTGATGTTGCACGTGGCATATACTCCTACTTTCAGTTCTATCATGAGTATATAGTCTTTATATCTGCCTTCATCTCATTTTTTTTTATTAATGACTTAATTTTGTCATTTTGACTCCATACTTCGTTGCTATTGTTGAGAATGGATGGTTGTTGATGGGTAATATTATCTTGCTGTTGAGGTGAAGTTTGATTTCAAGTGTGAATTGTGTAGCTCAAAGATAAATGGCATCACAGCACTCCCAGTAAAGTCATTACCTCTTTTTTTATTATTTAATCCATTTTTTATCCTTTCTAGTTTTCATATGCTTGTCGTGCATCACAACCCTTATGCATTTGTTATCAAAATGAGGTAGATTAGTGCATATTTCTTTTATGAAGTTATGCAGCAATATAAAGTACTGAACGAGGATAAAAATTATAGCTTTTGAAAACAAAAAATTTGACCATCAAATTAACATTCTCTTGTCTGAGCTTGGGCCGACAATGATGTTCTTAAGTTGTACTAATTATTCAGTGTAATAACTTATTCAATTTCTTTGACTAAATAAAGAAGATTATGTACTTTCTTCCTTGGAAAGTAATACCAACTTATGTTTCTGCACTGTAAACTTTTTTTTCTTTGATATTGGTGCTTCAGACTTCCCAAAACTTATCAGTTACTTGTTTTGTGAAGCTACTTGTTATACCAAGCAGTGTTAGGAAATTCTTATACTTTTGGAGAACTTGAATAAATAACTTTTCTTTTGAAGTAACTGTATTTTGCTCATTGATCTGAGACGCTGCTAACCTGCATGCATATGGATTTTGATAAAACAATATTTTTACCGGTTGCTCTGTTAAATGTTTGGGTTTTGTAGGATGGCTTGGATTTTGATGATACAGATAGTTTCACGTATTTGTTTAAAGCTTATTGGTTGGATCGGAAAGTAAAATTGTCATTGACATCTGAAGAGCTCAATAATGCCAGACATCCATATTCTGTTGCTCCTGATGAGGATTCGTCTGATGAATTATATGATGTTAATGAGGATCAGGGTTCTAGTTCCGAAGGTTCAGATCATAAGAGCAACATCTTGTCAAAGAAGAAAGTTAGAAGTCGTTCGCAGGCCATTCCTGTTGACAAAAATCCTGAAATAGCAGTTGATCAAGGGACATCAATGCCTCAGGAAACTGGTTGGGCTTCAATGGAGCTCTTGGAGCTTGTGGGTCACATGAGGAATGAAGATCAATCTTTTATATCTCAATTTGATGTTCAGGCACTTCTCCTTGACTATATAAAGAAATATAATCTTAGAGATCCTCGCAGGAAAAGTCAAATTATTTGTGATTTGAGACTTCGAAACCTTTTTGGGAAAGATAGAGTAGGTCATTTTGAAATGCTGAAACTGCTTGAATCACATTTTCTTTCAAAAGAGGTACCGCAAGTAGTGGTAGATGGCAATCAGGTGGAAACTTCAGATACTGATAATAAACTTACTGATGATGTTGAAGAAGGTGACACATTTTCAAAAGTAGTTTCTGACAAGAGACGGAAAAACCGTAAAAGAATTGAGGAGATAGAACCACAGATGAATGTTGATGATTTTGCGGCAATTGATGTTCATAACATAACTCTTATTTTCCTGCGCCGAAGCTTACTGGAGGATTTGCTTGATGATATGGAAACATTTAATGATAAAGTTGTTGGCTCCTTTGTGCGAATAAGGATATCTAATGCTGGTCAAAGACAAGACTTGTACAGACTGGTGCAAATTGTTGGTAAACTTCTCCCCTCCCATTTTTCTGATAACTGCTGTGGATCATGGCACCGTTTAGTTACGAAAAGGAAATATCTATGTGCAGGAACACAGGAAAGTTCAAAACCATATAAGGTTGGTAAGAAGACAACAGATATTTTATTGGAGATATTAAATTTGAACAAGAAAGAGACTTCAACAATTGATAGTATTTCAAATCAGGATTTTACTGAGGTTTGCTACTCAATCGTCTTCATAGTTTCTCTAGTATCTTATACTCTGCTTGTGCCGTGGCACGTATGAAACTTGACCAAGAGATTTAATAGACTATGTTAATGGCATAACTTATAAATTTTTCATATGATTTTTATTGCTTTTTAGTAGACATATAGTTGAGTACCACAAAATTGTTTGCTGTTCACTAAGGCAAAATTTTTTGTTAATGGTATGCTTAAGTAATTTATGATATTTATGATGCAATATTGAATTGTGTTAGATTTGACCATGGAGTGGCCAGAGGGATCAACATTGAGTCCATATCTTTTCTTATTGGTTGTGGAGCTGCTTACAAATTTTATTTAAATTAAGGGTTCTTTGTTTTTCACTTTATGCAGATAATATAGTTCCAATTGATGAGATATCCATTGAGACAAGTGGCAAGCTACAGTAATAGATAAAATACTTGTAATATAGAGGGTTAGAATAAGTACAACAAAGATGGGTTGCAAATTTAGTGGTTACGGCATTGATCATTATGAATCAGTATGATTAGACTTATCTTTGATCTATCATATAAAGTGAAGATATGAAATTTGGAGTTAAATTTGTGGTTAAGGAATATTTTTTGATGATGATATTATGAAGATTTAGAATCTGTTTAGGGTAGCCGCAACTTATCCAATAAACTTATTTGCAGCAGTTGCTCTAGGAAATTGCTCCGGGGAAGTTGCTGTGGGAAAACTGACAGACTTATTGTTTTTTACAGTTTGAAAATAACTGTGTGATAGCTGTTTTTGGAAAAATGACTATTCTGCCCCTATGTAGTAATGCTGTTTGTAAAAGAACTTTCATAGCCATATATTTAATATCTCAGAAGCAAAAATCAACCTCAGAACAGTACAAAAATTCACATATACATCTCACTTAACAGTGAGTATCAAGATTGTTTAAAAAACAAAAAATATTATTAAAATCACATTTAATAATATGATAATATTGTTTTTAAAGTGCAAATGACGTATGTCACGACCACACCGTTTTCCAGAGATGCTATCCATTCCTAATAATAATTAAAATCTCTAATTTAAGAACATAAAAACCTTACCTTGATTGCCCTCTTTGTGATCCTTGTAATTCAAAATGTTCTTCCAATTTTCATAATTTGAATCTACCAATTCTGTTATTATTTATTTTAAATTTAACTTTAAAACAACAATGTTTAAAATGAAACATGCATATTTATTAAATTAAAATAATTATAACCTAAACTCACATTATAAAGCTTGTTCGACCGACTGGTTCTATTCTGCCTTGTTTTAATTTTAATGTTAACATAATTAATTTTTAAATAATCGCTATTATTAATTCAAAATGTTTTAATGTTAACATAATAACATTTTTAAAATAATAATTTATACAATTTAAAAAGAACTTAAGCCTTCATTTTCCCAAAAGGCTCAAATTGGGATTCCCCTTACAAAAAACCGCATGCTAGGGTTTGGTTTGGTCTCCTCTCACACGGAGCCCCTCGCCTCCTCTCTGCATGTTAGGGCTCGATTTGATCTCTCATTCTTCCTGTGAGAACTGAGCCGCTCGACTCAGCTCTTCCCTTTACTTACACACAAGGCCCACTATTCCTTCGCATAGAACACACAACTTTGGCTTCATCTCCCTTCTTCCCGAGTGGAACAACAGAGGAGCGACGGGGGATTTGACGTCTTAAGGTCGAGGACAAACCAATAAAAACGCGTAAAAAGGCATTCATCGAATGCGGCCCGTGTTTAACCAAAACTTTGGGACGCTGTGGCCCAGACGCCATCCCAAACACTCGTAAATCGCAGCCAGTAGCCTCGCCGCGGCTCAGACGTTGCCCCAAACGCACCTTTAATGTCAAATTTTATGAAATTACAAGTAGGATAGGGAAATATTGTTTCAAGTGTTGGGCAATAAAGAAGTTACAGTAAAATTATGTGTGGTGTATATGAAACTTTAGGGATAAATTATGGAATTATTTTATTAATTAGGGTAAATTTACTCATCAGTTATTTATTTTTTTTGGTTGAGATTATTTTGTAAATTTTTTTTTGATCATTGGAAAGCTTACAAATTTTTGTATGCATTGATTTCATTGTAGAGATTTAGAACATCATTATGTGATGAGGCAATAAAGATGAAGAGATGTCTGGAATGTAAGCGATAAATTATATGTAGTTTTTTAATTGCTTGAATATTCAAATTTCTAACAACTATTTGATTGTTTGACCGAAAAGGTTGATTTGGAAAATGTTGATGATAGGGATGTAAAGGTAAATGAGAGTGGTTATGATGACTAATTTTATAAAAGTTTGATGGTGATATAATGAAGATTTAATGACAAATTTTATAAAATTATAAGTAGTCCAGTGAAATATTGTTTCAAGTATAGAGCAATAAAGAAGTTTTTAACAATAAACTTAAGTGTGGTGGATATGGATGGATAAATTAGGGAATTATATTATTAAGAGGGGTAAATTAACTCATTAGTTAATTTATTTTTTTTGTTTGAGATTTTTATGTACAAAGCTTTTTTGGGTCATTGGAAAGCTTACAAAGTTTTGTATGCATTAATTTCATCATAGAGTTTTAGAAAATAGTTTTGAAATGAGGCAATACAAAATGAAGAGGTATTGGGAATGTTAGTTATAAGTTATATGATGTAGTTTTTGAATAGCTTGAATATTCATATTTCTTACAATTATTTGATAGTTTGACTGAAAAGGTTTATTTGAAAATGGAAAATGTTGATGATAAGGATGTAGAGGTAAATAAGAGTCGTGATAATGACTGTGATGAAAGAGATTTGAGTTAATGCTTAAAATTGTGTAATTGGCTATTGAGGTGTTTTTTCTTTGTGTAGCGGGGTGTAAGACTCAAAATTAATTAATTGCAGAAAAAAAGTATCAAGTTTAAATATATAATAAGAGATAATATATTGGCACTGTAATCCATTAATATTTTAAAATATAATAGATTAATATCCTAATATAATAAATGTGATAATTTATTTAAAGTAAGAAGTAAGATGTTAATATTCAAATTTTAAATCATATGCAAACATCTAAATAGTACATTATAACATAACAATTTAACATAAGCTCAGTACAAATCATCTCTCCTCCAATTTTGTTGTCCCCCATAGAGATAAGAACATCACAAGTTAGTAATGTTAGAATTTTAATTTTAAAAATTTTCTTCACTCTTGTCACTTAGCGTACCTTCATTGGAATCATCGGTAATGATTTTCTTACTCCCTCATTTTATCCTCAATTATAAGTATGTTCGCTCATTTTTCCTGTTCAACTTAAATCTCAGTGAACTTCCTTCTATTTAATTAATATTGATTTTTATTAAATTTTAAGATAATGACTATGGTGGTAGTAACAACTTAATTACGTCCTCAATTATATATATATATAAGCAAGAAATGTTTATAAATAATACTTTACTTATTTTTTTTTTTAAGAAAAATTCTTGATCTAATTGCACACGTTCACTAGAATTGAGGCAAGACATACCTTGAGGCGGGCCTTATATTATATGTGGCGTAACTCTCATTGTAAAATTTTCAAAAAGGCATTGAGGCAAGCCTCATAGTGAGAAATTTTAAGCCACACAGATGATTTTGCGAAATTTCCTAATTTTGAAGTAGGAATGTATCTCAAAGTTAAGGAGTTTAAAGAAGTTATGCATAATTAAAATTGAATAGTTTATTTTATCTCACTGGAAATCATTTTAGTGAAATCAATAAAAATGTATAAAATCACTAAAAACTAAAAGTTTATATGAAAAGTATGAATTCTACGAATTTCATTTGAAACGAAAACTAGAAATTCCAATGAAGCAAGATATAAATAAATATTATCTAATGTTTTTCTTTTTAAGACCATCTCGATACACAACCGCCTTCGTGTTATTGTTGTCTCTTCTTTTCCTGTACAATCCTTATGTATGTATATATTTATATGCGTCTGTGTGCTTGCGTGCGTGCGTGTGTGTGTGTATGTATCTATATATATATATATATATATATATGTATATCTATATATATGTATCTATCTATATATATGTGTCTATAACTAGAGGCAGAAGTAAGAGCAAATTGGGTCGCTCTCTAGCCACCTGATGCTATGTATTTCAGCACTGTTAGGCTTTTTATTTAATTTTTGAATGTATTTTTACACACACACACACACACACACAAACACATTTATATATACACACACACACACACACGCACACACACACACACACACACATACACACACACACACACACACACATTTATAGACACACACACACAAACACACACACACACACACACACACACACACACACACACATCTATATCTATGTATATATGTATGTATCTATATCTATAGATATATATATGTATGTATGTATATGTATGTATGTATGTATGTATGTATGTATGTATGTATCTATAGTTTAAAAGGAATGGTTAGAGGCTATTATTCGAGCTTCCAACCACCCTTAATGTGCCTAACAATTCGAGTATCACCTTCTTTAGACCAACTATGCCAGAGGGGATTTGAACCCCTGGCCTAAGCGGCCTTATACCGTGGATGCCAACCAACAGGCCGGGGTATGCTACACATAAAATAAGAATTTATGTGCCGCGTACTCCGGTCTGCTGGGTGGCATCCACGATATAAGACCCCTCATGTCGGGGGTTTGAATCCCCTCTGACATAGTTGGTCTAAAGAAGGTGATACTCGAATTGTTAGACACATTTAGGATGGCTGGAGGCTCGTATAATGGACCATATCTATCTATCTATCTATCTATATATATATATATTTATATATATATA